CATTCCCTCCAATTCACCTTATGCCCATACTCTCTGTCTATGTATATTCCTTCTAGCTGTACCATTAATGATACAATTTTTAAGAATCACAAGTATCATCTTCCCATGTAGGGATATAAACAGTTCAGTTATCCCTTACGTTTTCTTTTCCATTTTTACCTTTTTAGGCTTCTCTTAGGTCTTGACATTGGAGATCAAATTTTTTGTTCAGTTCTGGTCTTCTCCTTATGAAAGCTTGAAATATTTCTATTTCATTCTATTTCATTTTTTCCCTTGAAGTATTATGCTTAATTTCACCAGGTAGGTGATTAAATATTTGTTGATAAACTGATTTATTACTTGGTTGAAGTGTGGAGGAACTTGTGGAACACAATACTGGAAAAGGAATTTTTTGGTGAATTTTTGAGCTAAGGAGTTAAGCATATATTTGGTTAGAAAAGAGGGAAATCATTGTACACAATAACATAATATTGTACAATGATCAGTTATTAGCTATTCTCGGCAACACAATGATCCAAGACAATTACGAAGGACTTGAATTGACAGTATTGAAAAATGCTATCCACCTCCAGAGAAAAAACTGATGGAGTCTCAATACAGATTGAAGCATACTTTTTTAAACTTTCTTTAATTTTCTTTTTTTTTTTACTGTGTTTTCTTTTGCAACATAGCTAATATGGAAATAGGTTTTGCATGAATGCACACGTATCATCTATATCAGATTGCTTGCCTTCTTAAGGAGGGGAAAGGGGAGGAAGAGAACTTGGAACTTAATTATTTTTAAAAATGTTAAAAATTGGATTTACGTGCAATTGAGAAAAAATATATTCTTAAAAAAAAAAGAGGGAGAAAGATAAAAGAAGCCAAATGGAAAGGGAACATTAATGGAACATAGTCTTGTAGATAGCAGAGGAGGGCATAGATAGAATCAAGAGATAAAAGAGTTAGCTTTAGAGAACAGAGACACTTCTTCCTCAAGTTAAGGTGGGGATAATAATTAATAATAATAAATAGCATTTTAAGGTTTACAAAGCAGTGCATGTATATTGTCTCACTTGACCCTCACAACAATCCTGGGAAATAAGTGCTATTATTACAATGAGGAAACTGAGTCTAAGAAAGGTTAAATGACTTGCCCAGGGTCACACAGCTCCTAAGTGTCTGAGGGGCTGGATTTTAACTCGGGTCTACCTGACTCCAGTGCTCTTACCCACTGCACCACCCAGCTCCTTCTAAGTTGTCTACAGCATGGGAAGGCCAGGCCAGCTGGCTCTGATGTCCTTTCAGCCCTCAGTCTGGTGAGGTGGACACTGAAAGCAGGGACACTTCGATGTCTGGAGTGTTGGAAGAGGCAGGAAGCATGGCGGAGTGGCAGACAGAACACTGTATTCGAAGGGATTAACTCCTAACGCTGTTACTCCTAAGGCTGTACTTGTGTGACCCTGGTCCTCAGTTTTTGTCTCTTTGAAATGGGTGGACTAGGTGACCTTCTGGTCCTTTTGCCGGCCCATCCTAGCTCTTCTGGCAGAAGTCAAGTCAGAAATTAAAGTCATCACCTGCAGAAATGGCCTAAAGGGAAACCAAAGGGGCCTCAGGATTCTGGGAATACATGAAAAAAAAGGGGGGCGAGCGGTGGAGAGCTTCTCACTTGGCCAAAGCAGAGCAGTGTAGCCCATGTAATATCTTCTTTCAAGCATTTTCCACTCTTGATTTCATCCATCCTTCCAACCTCCCAGGAGGCTTTGGAAAATGCTGATCAAGTGGGATCTCTGTCCCAGAACCTTTTAATGGCAAGTCATTCTGAGAAGAGGCTGGAATGTATTTTTGGTTGTTATAGGGGATGGGGAGTGACATATGATCCTTAAATAAGCCTCTTAAAGATCCCAGGCTATTATATTCCTCTACTTATGGGGCCTTATCTATGAGCCAGAGGCTGTGTGTTAACCCAAGATCTCAGTGCATACAAGGGCAGACCTGGGACTTTAACTTAAGCCTCCTGCTGCCATGGAGACTAGGATACTACGTTTGCCTCTGCTGCCCTTCCAGGGCAAATAGGAGACCTCTTCTTATCTTGGGCCAGGCAGGAAGCTAAGGGGGGCAATGACCAGGAGGATCATCCAGACAGTCTTTTCTGACCTTCCTCCCCTTCCTGCTAACCAGGTTCTGGACAAACCTGTATCCAGCTGTTCCTAAAAAACAGCATTTCATTGCTTGCACAATTGACTCTCCCCTCCATCTGGATTTCCCAGCCTCCTCACTTCACTCTCCCAGAATAATAAGGGATGTATATGTAGCACTTTATGGTTTACAAAGCACTCGACAGATTTTAAAACTCATTTGCTCTTCACCATAACCCTGTGAGTAAGGTGCAATTATCCCCATTTTACAAATAAGGAAACTGAGGCCAAAGGACTTGCCCAGTATCACACATATAGCACCTCAGAGAGGATTCAAATATTTTTGTTGTTATTCAGTCATTTCAGTCATGTCTCATTCTCTGTGACTCCACTTGAGGTTTTCTTGCCAGAGATACTGGAGTGGTTTGCCATTTCCTTCTCTAGCTCATTTGACAGATGAGGAAACTGAGGCAAACAGGGTAAAGTGACTTGCCCAAGGTCACATAGCTAGCATCTGAGGCCAGATTTAAACTAAGAAACAGGAGTCCTCCTGACTCCAGGCCCAGCCCTCTGTCCACTATGTCACTTGACTCCAAATCAACATTACTCTATCCATTACACAATCAAGATTCTCAAAGGGTGAGCCTGAGGATCCCTGGAGGTGTCTGATACCCATTCAGGGGGCCTGGGAGGTCAAAACTATTTTCATAATAATATGAAGATGTTATTTGTCTATTCAAATATTTCTCCCTTTTCCTACCATATAACTGTATTCTCCACATACTTCAACCAAAACAACTTATCACAGCAGACTAAATTCTGAAGCAGACAGGAGAATCCAGCTGTCTTTATTAAGCCAGATACTGGAAGCTTGCAAAAATATGTAAAGTAATGATATTCTCATTAAATCTTTTTTTGTTTTGGAAAAGTTATTTTTCATTAAAATGTTACTTATGATAGCATGTAATGGGTTTATTATTATTATTTAAAAATGAATATTTTAAAATTTGGTTTTAATTTCTAATACAATAAATGTTGATAAATATATCCCACATTTAAAAAAAAACTCTTTGGTGTCCTCAGTAATTTTTAAGATTATATAGGGGTTCTGAAACCAAAAGTTTGAGGAGTACTGTCTACCTACCTCCTCCTAAAATTACTTTATATTTTGTATACATAAAAGTCAGTAAAACCAACCATGAATGCACTTATTTGTGTATAGTACATGATAGCAACCCTCTCTGCTCCAAGTGGAAAAATTCCTTGAATTCAGGAATTTTTTCTCTCCAGTATAGCACACCCCCAAGGTGAGCTGACAGCCCCCTAAAGCAGAGGTGTCAAAGTATAGCCCCAACCAGATCAAAATGTAATTGGGAAATGTTTAATAAAATAAATAAAAATACAACATAACATAGATAATGTTAATTCGTGGTTTTCTGAAGGGATCCATTTCTATTTGAGTTTGACCCCATGGTCCTAAAGGACAAACCATATGCTGCTTACCAGCAGAGATGTGACTCCTGATTGGCTGAAAGACTTCTGTTCCTGATGCTTGTAAGCTCCAGGGCAGGGTCTGTATTTTTGCCTGTTATTTTTCCATCCCCTGCACTTAGCACAGTGCCTAGCACACAGTAAGTGCATATAAAAGCTGAGTGGCCAGCCCACACTATTCCTGAGCATCTTGCCTCCATTTCCCCAATCCTTGCTCTCTCTGGGTACCATCCTTTCACCCCATTCCCCCACTCCTGGGGTTTTCTAACCAAAATGGATGACCCTCTAGAAAGGACGCTGTCAGTGAACACAGCTGAGAGATTCTCCCATTTGCTTTTTATTTCCCCTTCTTTGTTGTCCTGGGCTCCTTCCCTGGCTCCGGGTTTGGGACTAAAGGCCCTGATGCTGGTGCCAGACAGAGGGGTGATTTCATGCCCACAGGGCAGGAGGCTGGGGGGGTCCAGCTGGCACAAAGAGATACGTAATTACAGTGGGTCCCTGAGCTACAAGCAATGAATATCTTCATAAAGGACAAGATCAGTTATGCATTATTTACACCAGCATCAATTTTCCCAGCTGGTTGTGTCAGGTGAACTCATTCTCTCATTTATGGACACAGCCACGGTTTATGCCTTTGGTTATTCTGAACCAGGAACGGGCCCCCACTAGGGTACCATGTATATTAAACAGGTGGCTGGATTCACCAGCAGCAGACCACATCTATGCTCCTTGTTAAATTATATCCCTGGGACAACAGAGAACTAGTTTTCTCACCTGTGCTTTAGTGCAGGAATGCATGCAGGTGTATGAAATCAAATCAGCCAGAAGAGGAGAAAGGAGGAAAGAGGTCTTGTTGGGACCTCACAGGGAGAAAAGGATATACATGTCATTGAGGGGAAATTAGGTGGCTTTGGGTCAGAGCTGCTTACTAGATTTCTTTCTTGTTATTTAGGCCAGGGACAAAGGGAAGGAATGGTTTCCATCTGTAGCATTTAGAAGCAGCTCCTCTTGGTGGTTGGTGTGCCAGCCCTGGTTTACAGTTCAGAGAAACTGAGGCACGGTGGAGGTGACATGGGATATAAACAACTGATCATGACCCTAGCTGGCAAGACTCATGTATCCAGCTATTGGTTCACCTCTTTGAGGGTGCCAAAGATGAGCTACTTTCAGCCAATGGCTCTCAGAGACAGAGAAATGATACAAGTTGAGCAAGGTACCTGTGGTTCTAAGTTATTTCCTACAAGGAATGATGCTAAGGTCTCACTGCAGCCAGGGATGCCCTTCCCTTCCCAGGTCAGACTCTCCAGCCTGAGGATAAGGTTTCCACTCTGGGTCCCTCATGCTGGGCTACCTTTGACTTCAGTGGTTACCATAGATCATAGATTCAGAATGGGAAGGGACCTCAGCTCATTTAATCCAACCCTGTCATTTTACAGATGAGGAAACTGAGGCCCAGAGAGGCAAAGCCCCTTGTCCATGTTCACAGTATCAGAATCAAGACTTGAACTCAGGTCCTTCCTTGGACCCAGTCCAGCACTTTATCCAGACTATCCCATGCCTTTTCTGTCTTCTTTGTGACTGCTAGTTTCCTCTCTGGGAACTGGATGACAGGGAGCCTTTGACCCCTCCTCATGTTCCAAAGAGGTGATATGATTATGACTTGCTGCCTTCTAATGAGGAATTCTGTTCTGGAGTCCCACAGCTTCCAATTTCCATGACCTCCTGGATTCCTGTGGGCTGAAAGGGGACATAGGAGAGGAGTTAACGCTCTGTCTAATCCATCCCAAGGATGGAGCCCCTTTCACTAGAAGCACTTTGATGGGTTTGTGAATTTCTCAGAGGCAGCAGCCTAGGTGGCTCAGTGGATAGAGCACCAGGCCTAACTCTAGAAGATCTGTGTTCAAAATCCAGCCTTAGATACACTAACTGTGTGACCTGAGCAAGTTACTAAACTTCTGTTTGCCTCAGTTTCCTTATCTGTAAAATGGGGATAATAACAGCACCTACCTCCCAGGGTTGTTGTAATCAAATGAGATAATATTTGTAAACCTCTTAGCATGGTGCCTGGCACATAGTAAGTGCTATATAAATGTTAGCTACTATTATTATCACCATCACCATCTCCAAACCCAGATGGAAGAGATAAGACAAATCTGCCTAGTATCACAGAATCATAGAATTAGAGAATACAGATTTAGAACTGAAAGGACCTAGGAATTCATTACAGTTTGATTTCGATTTTGACAGATGAGGATACTGAGGCCAAGAGAAGTTAAATGAATTGCCCGAAGTCACAAAGGGGAAGAGCTAAGACCTGAACTCCGCTCCTGCCCCACAAATCCAGTGCTCTAATCTACAAGATAGGCCACAGCCTAGACTGATACCCTAGCAATTTCTTCTCCAGTCCTTCGACTTTCTTCCCCATATATCAGTAGGGGGGAAGTGGCCATAGTTAAAGCTGATGAAAATGTAAAGCGAGGTGCCCCACCTCCCTCCACCCACTCATGAATAATTCATAGAATATACTTGAATAAAGGGTGAGAATATGGGAGCCTGGCCTTCAGTACAAAGACAGATGGTGAAGGGAATGCAGTTTGCCTATAAATATAGGTAACTGTGGCAACTGGCTACATTGTGTTTATCGTAGAGAAGTGTGTTATCATTGTGTGTTAGTTAGTATAGAGAAGAATAAAAGCTATTTAAGAAGAACCGTACACAAGGCTCTCCATAATCTGGCTCTAGTCTACCCCTCCAGACTTATTTTGTGTTATTCACCTTTACCAATACTACACCCCAGCCAATGGTCTCTACTCGCTGTTTTCTCATTTCACGCCCTGCCTCCAGGCTGTCCCCCATGCCTAAATTACCCTCATAGGATCACAGAATTGGAATTGGAATTGGAAAGGACCTTAGGGGACACCAAATCCAACCCCCTCCTTTCAGTCAGCTAGGTGGTTCTTTGGATAGAGTGCTAGACTTGAAGGAAGGCCAGAGTTCAAATCCTGCCTTGCTAGCTGTGTGATCCTGGGAAAGTCACCTAACCTTTTTCCCCCTTCAGTTTCTTTATCTGTAAAATGGGCATAGTAACAGTACCTACCTTCTAGAGTTGTGAGGATCATATTTAAAGCATCATATAAATGCTGTTTTATTATTATTGTTATTTCACAGATGAAGAAACCGAAGTCCAGAGAGGTTAGCTCAGAGTCACATAGCTAGTTAGGGTATGAGATAGCACATAGATCCAGGTCTTTCTAACTGCAAATCTGGTGTTTTAGCCACTACTTTATGCTGCCTCTAACTCTTAAAATCTCTAGCTTTCCTAGGGACTCAAGCACAAATGCCACTTGTGGATTCCCCCAACATCCACTCCTACACATACACACACACACACACTCCCAGCTCTCCTCCGCTGCTAGTTCTTTCTATATCTTCAAATCATCAAAGATTTACTTATCTGTGCACAGGCTATGTCCTTCCACTAGAATGTAAGCTCCTTGAGGCAAGATCTGTGTTATTTTTGTTTCTGCATCTCTTACACAATATCTTGTATGTTGCAAACTTTATAGATATTTATTGAAATGCACAGAAAATATCGATCAATAGTGCTCAAGAGCCTGAGACGCAGGGTCTTTGTCCTGTCCCTTGAAGGCCTCCATTCAGTCCTCTAGAGGAAGCACAACCCAGCTAGGAGTGACTGGGGCGGGCTTTCCAAACCACGGTTAACCAACCACCTCTCAATTACAAAAGGTGCCCCCCTGACAGAATACAGCCAGGTTCTGATTAGTACAAAGAAAGAATCCCAAGAACCAGTCACACTATTCAAATCTGCACTGCATATTTCCACTGGGCCAGAACCAATGACCTATTTTACAGAATTATAACTTCAAATAATGCTAACACAAATACACACAACCACTTCATGGGATTCACTCTTCCCACTAATCAGGACCAAGCTGCAGCTGCTGATAATCAAATTATATGAGAAACAGGGAGAAAATCTTACGGGAAGTTTCCATCTAGAGCAGGGGCTCTTCACCTTTTTTGTATCATGGACCCCTCTGGCATAGTCTGCTGAAACCTATGGCACACCCCTTCTTGATCATGTCTTTAAATAACTGAAGGAAGTGTTAACTTTCAGTCAAACTGTAGTAAAAAATAAAGATGTAATTGTTTTCCCGACCAAATTCATTGATCTCCTGAAAACTATTCACAGGTATAAGGTTAGGAATTCCTGATCTAGAACAAGTGGGGAATGGCCAGTATAAAGACAAATGGCATCAATACAATGTTTTAATTAAAAGGGAAACAAAAAACTAAATTATGTTAGCACAGAAGTTTTTGATCTGGAGCCCATGAACTTTTTAAAAAATATTTTGACAATTGTATTTCAACATAATTGTTTTCCTCTGTAACCCTGTGATTCTAAGGAGGGGTCCACAGGCTTCACCAGACCGCCCAAAGAGTCCAGGACACAAGAAAAGTGAAAAATCTTTAGAGGAATGTTTTCCCAGATTTGACAAAAGGTGGAACTGAGGCAAGGGACAGGGAAATGATGCAACTCCAACCTGCCTTTCCAGCTTTATTTTCTTACCTTCCTTCCCTTCACGTACCGTAAGTTCTAGTCAAAGTAACTGACTTGCTATTTCCTGAACACATCTCAATGTGCTTTCCAGCTTTCTGTGCCTTTGTTTGTCAGGCAACAAGCATCTATTAGGTTCCTACTGTATGCCAGGCACTGGGCTCATGATGTGTCTCCCCCTTGGAATACCTTCCCTACTATTCTCACCTGCTGAAATTTTATTTATTGCTTTTCTTTCTTCTTATTTTATTTCCCTAGAGGGGTTGGGGGTTAGAAGTCAAGGAAGAATAGACATTTTTGTTTTTCAGCCATTTCAGTCATGTGCAACTCTTGGCAAAGACACTGGAGTGGTTTGCCATTTCCTTCTCCAGCTCATTTTACATATGAAGACCTGAGGCAAATGGGATTAAATGACTTGCTCAGGTCACATAGCTAGTAAGTCTGAGGTTGAATTTGAACTCACATCCTCCTGACTACAGGGCCAGCTCTGTATCTTATCTACTGCACCACCTAGCTGCCCAGAATATGTACAGAGTAACATAATAATAATAATAAGTCCTTGAGGTATATTTTTGTAAAGTGTGGAGAAAAGAACAGAAGGAAAGGCCAGAAAGAAGCCCAGACCAGCAGGATAGCTTTGAAAGCTACAAGGGGATCTTATTATACACTTGAGTAGAAAAGCAAATTCTACAAAACAGAGATCTGCAGTTTCATGTGCCATCCTCTTCTTTTATCTAACTGCCTATAAGCAAATGTTCATTCTATTTGAAAATAAAAATATATAAATATTTTATATATAAATATATATTCAATATATTTAAATATAAATATATATTCAATATATTTAAATATAAATATATATTTTATATAAAAATATAAAAAAAGAACTATCCTTCCTCTGAGGCGCAGTTCAAATGCCACATCTTCCACTGACACCTCTCCTCCAGCCTCCCCCTTCCACCATCCCTATTTCACCTTTCCCTCTTCAAGACTTTTCTAGAACTTTGGGCCTCTTCTGCGCACTGATCATCATCTCTTTGTACTACAGCTTTTTATGCACAGCTTCCTTCACTAGATGGTAAGTCTCTTGAGGTACCACATTGCATGCATCTTTGTATTCTCCTCAACTAGACCTAGCACAGAACCAGCACAGTGTGGAAAATGCTCAAGAAATGCTTAATACAGGAATGCTTGACGAATGAACAAATGAACAAGCACATGATGTCACCGGGGAGCAGGGGAAGGGGGAGGAGAATAAGTATGTATTAAATACCTACTATGTGCCAGGCACTGTGCTAAGTGCTTTTTACAAATATCATCTCATTTAATCCTCACAAAAATCCCGGGAGGCAGGGGCTTTTAATGTTCCCATTTTACAAATGAGGAAACTGAGGCAAACAGAGGTTAAGTGACACACCTGGGGGGGGGAAGGGAAGCCCTCCCTCAGAAGCCACTACTCTAACACCTGGCCTCTATCCTTTGTCACCCACCCTGAAAGCAGAGTGGGCCAATGAGCCCAGAATGTTCCCTGGATCATCAGTACAGAAAAGAGAGGGGTAACAGGGGAAAGGGATAGCGTCACAAACTCCTTTTCCCTTCCAGTCTTGGGCTCCCCAAGTGTGCCCCCTCACCTGTCGCGGAGACTTGGTCAGAGAGGCCACACGGCAGCCAGCTGGGGCTCCGGGCCCTTCCCGGGCTTCCAGGAACACTCTGGTGCTGGGGACAAAACTCCAGGATCGGCCCAGGGCCGGTCTGAGCTTTCCACTCTCTCGCTCCCTGGTCACATGGTTAGTCACCTTCAACAGAGAAGATCAGTCCTTATCCATTCAATCTTTCACTACAGGTCACCCCGACATGTACCAGGAACACCGCAGGCTGGGCTACTTGTCCTTAAAGACACTGAACTTTAACTGGCTCTGGGGACCAAGGCTTTCAGGTGGCCCAAGTGATAACAGTAATTTACCGGTTTGACACTTCCCAAGCACTTTATAGAAATTCCCTCAACAACATCCTCCAGTCAATCAACGACCACATCTGGTCAATTCTACCTCTGCTCGCCCCCCTCCCATGTGTGCCCTTCTCTTGTCTACACTCACCCAGCGGCCACCCAAGCACAGGCTCTCCATCCCCTCTAGCCTATTCTGTTACAACTGCCTCATCACTGGTCTCCCTGCCTCAAGCCTCTCCTCTCTCCGATTCCTCCTCCGTGTGGCTGCCAAAGTGACATCACTAAAGAACAGTTCCGATCTGGTCACTTCTCTGCATCACCACCACCACCACCACCACCACCACCACCACCAACCAACACCACCTTGGGCATTTATATGGCACTCTAAGGTTTGCAAAGCACTTTACATAATGTCATTTGATCCTCACCACAACCCCCATTTATTATTAGTATTATTATCATCATCCCCATTTGACAGAGGAAGAAACTGAGGCAGAGGGTATGTGACTTGTCCAGGGTCACACAGCTTGTAAGCATCTGAGGTTGGACTTGAACTCAGGTCTTCCCACTCCAAGCCCAGCGTTCTATCTATGCCTCTGAGACACCTAGTGGCTCTCAGCCCTAAGATCCTATCATTCTAACTCTGCTTTTCATGCCCAGTGGCTTGGCCTTCTTGATTGGTGACCATATGGTTTGGCACAGGTGGTACCTGTGAGGAAAACAGTTTATTATTTATCTTTTATTACTATTGTTGAACCTGTCTTTTTTTTGGGGGGGGGGCTAGGTAATGGGGTTAAATGACTTGCCCAGGGTCACACATCTAGCAAGTGTTATGTGTCTGAGGCCGGATTTGAACTCAGGTCCTCCTGAATCCAGGGCCGGTGCTCTATTCACTGTGCCACCTAGCTGCCCCTGAACCTGTCTTTATATGGCTAGGAAACTGTCTAACCCACAGGGCCAGCATCTAGCACACCACCTAGCTATGTGGTCCCCTCTGAATCTTTGGGAGGTTGTGTTATATAGAGTTCACATGAAGGCATGGAAAGACATTTTCTGATCGACATCTCAAACTGCCCTACTGCCCTGGTGCGGCCAATCTAATCTGGGGAACCCAAAGCACAAGTTTTGGGCCTTCCCATCCCAAGCACTCAGCACTGGCCTGGGCACACAGCAGGTGTTTAATAAATGCTTATTGACTGACTGACCTACCTCAAAATTCCATATAAACAGGGACCTACATTTCAGCCAGAAAATGAAATCCTATCCCACTGCAAAGGCAAAAAAAGCCAGAGGGAATTAGGGCCACTCTGACGACTGCTTCAACTCACCAAGACTGCAATTCCCAGCTCCCGGGCCAGGGTCTTGAGCTCTCGGGCGAGCTGCATCATTAAGGCCAAACCTTGGGAAGGAAAAGATGGTTTGGAGGGTGGGGGGTGGAAGGGGGTATTAAAGGCTAGAAAGGAGGTTTGAGGATAAAGATCCCCCAAGCTTTTCCCAACAATCTGGGTGGGATGCCACTGTCTTCTAGGCATAACTCACCCTCACTATGCTGGCCTCCCAAAAGAGGGGAGACCACTGCGGAGACTGAATCCACCACCACTATCTTTACCGGCCCCGAAGCATTGGTCGCCTGGAGAGGAGAAAGACAGTACAAATGGTTCTATGGTCCTCCTTCTTTCCTTAGTAGCCTCCAGGGTGGGGGATGAGTTGGTTTCTTTTTTGGGGGTCGGGGGATGAGTTTTACAGGATAAACTTGCTGCTTAACACGAGGAAAATGAAGGAGAGACATGACCTTACCTCACCTACAGCTCCAGAAATACTAGGAAACCAAGCTTCGTTAGTTGCTGACTTTCACGAAACAACTCGCCTTCATTCTTGCCACCTCTTGGCTACTCCTGTCAGATTTTCCCCACCTCCCACCTTCACTAGCACTCTCCACATCACACACCTCCCAAATCGATGCTCCTAGGCCTTGGGAAAGTGAATCCATTCATCTGATAAGTGACTGAGTGAGTACAAACTAGCTGGCCATATTGACTAAATTGACTCCATGGACCAGACCCAGATTGACTTTCAAATCCTATCCAGCTGTCTACCCGAGACATCTTGCTGCATACCTGTTGCCATAGGCACACCCCCTCCTCCATAATTCTCTATCTCTTGCTCCAATCAAGAGTACCATTGGTTTGGGGTAAGGGGACATCATTTGACTGTCCTATACATTAACCCAACACTTGTGTGGTCCTTTAGGCCAAAACCCCCTTCCAAGGCCACCACTCCTCTAGCTACATAGTATCCCTGTATTAGAGTGTAAACTTCCTGAGAGCAGGGACTATCTTTTGTATTTGTATCCCCATATGCTTTGTATATTACTGCAAGGTGGTAAAATGGCTTGAGCACTAGGACTAGAGTTAAGAAGACCTGAGTCTGCATCACCTGGTCTGCCTGAGACCAGGCGCAACTACCTGCTAAGAATATAAATATAACCAAGCAAGACAGCCCCTGCCCTCAAGAAGCTTATATTCTGACTGGGGAGGACAATGCACAAAGGGAAGCTGGAGGCAGATTCTTCCTTCTCTCTGAAAGTCTTCAAACAAAGCCTAGATGATGACAATACGCTCCAATATACTGGAGAGGACTCTTCTTCAGGGACGAGTTCGGCGAGCTGGCCCCTGTGGCCCCTTATACCTGAGATTCCGTGATTCTGAGTTCAGAGGGCTGGGCATTAGTCCGAGCTCTGTTTCTGACTAGCTGTGTAAAGCCTAGGCAAGTTCCATCCTCCTTCTGGACCTCCACAGGACTAGCACACCCTCTGCAAAAGCTTCTGGCTTTAAAACTCTAGGATTCTACAATGCCCATCTTAGAAGCACATTTGGTCCATTCCAAGGACGGATGACCTGTCACAGGACAATCGCCCACAGAAAACAATAAGAGACTCTGCCCGATGGGGGCTCACCTGCTGGGAGATACTACCCCGGAGGTCCTGGAACGCGTCCAGCATTTGGAAGATGTCAAACACACGTACCACGTGGATCCTCTGCAGAGCCCCTGCCTGGTAAGAAGGAGAAACACAGGCATCAGCATTCCAAAGTCCCTGCTTCAGGAATACAGCGTAACAATGACTAGTTTATACTTAATGATTTACAGTCAGCTAAGCACTTTACATGTTATCTTATTTGATCCTCACAACAGCTCTGTAAGAGGTGGCTGCTATTATCCCCATTTTACAGATGAGGAAACTGAGGCAGACAGTGGTTA